CGCGCTGAGGCGGTGGGGTGACCGGCACCACGCCCGGCCGCCCTTGTCCCCCCGATGTTTACTATGCACACAACCCGCCACGCCGGTTACACGTTTCGAGGCTGAGTCGACCCTTGGGGAAGCTCAGGACCGGTGCGGATAAGCGAGGCCTGGTGGCTGCATATCTGAACCGTTCCTTGAGCTGGAATCGAACCTTGTTCGTCGCGCAGCGTGGCGCTAACCGTTGGGAGTGTATGCTGGGTGAGGGTGAGTGGTGGGTGAGGCGATAGGTGGACACGTGGATTCCACCATGTTTCTGTGTGAGGGTGATTCGTGGGTGAGTGGTGATAGTGGTGGGTCCGGGTGGGTGAGTGGTGATAGTGGGTGGGTGGGTCAGGGTGTGAGGGTGATTGGTGTGTTGTTGGTGAGTGAGTGGTGATAGTGGTGGGTGAGTGTGAGGGTGATTGGTGGGTTGGTGAGTGAGTGGTGAAAGTGGTGGGTGTGGGTGTTTGGTGGGTTGGTGAGTGAGTGGTGATAGTGGTGGGTGAGTGTGAGGGTGATTGGTGGGTTGGTGAGTGAGTGGTGATAGTGGTGGGTCTGGGTGAGGGTGATTGGTGGGTTGGTGAATCAGAATCAAAGGGTTTTATTCGCCATGAAAGTTCACACCGACACGGAATTTACTTTGGCAGGATGGTGCATACATTCAACATATAGGAATCTAAAATCATAAATAAGTTTTAAACAAGTCTTACTATAATAATGAGGGTTAAAAGTCTAACACCAAGGGGCTGAAGTATATAAAATTGAATAAATATCGAATATAAAAATGGGTGAGTGTGAGTGAGTGGTGATAGTGGTGGGTGAGTGTGAGGGTGATTGGTGGGTTGGTGAGTGAGTGGTGATAATGGTGGGTGAGTGTGAGGGTGATTGGTGGGTGAGTGGTGATAGTGGTGGGTGAGTGGTGATAGTGGTGGGTCAGGGTGTGAGGGTGATTGGTGGGTTGGTGAGTGAGTGGTGATAGTGGTGGGTAAGTTTGAGGGTGATAGGTGGGTTGGTGAGTGAGTGGTGAAAGTGGTGGGTGTGGGTGTTTGGTGGGTTGGTGAGTGAGTGGTGATAGTTGTGGGTGAGTTTGAGAGTGATTCGTGGGTGAGTGAGTAGTGATAGTGGTGGGTGTGGGTGATTGTTGGGTTGGTGAGTAAGTGGTGATAGCGGTGGGTGATTGGTGGGTGAGTGAGTGGTGATAGTGGTGGGTGAGTTTGAGAGTGATTAGTGGGTGAGTGAGTGGTGATAGTGGTGGGTGAGGGTGATTTGTGGGTGTGTGAGTGGTGATAGTGGTGGGTGTGGGTGATTAGTGGGTGTGTGTGAGTGGTGATAGTGGTGTGTGAGTGTGATTACTGAGTGAGTGGTGATAGTGGTGGGTGAGTGTGAGGGTGATTAGTGGGTGAGTGAGTGGTGATAGCGGTGGGTGAGTGTGAGTGAGTGGTGATAGTGGTGGGTGAGGGTGTGAGTGGTGGGTGAGGGTGAGTGGTGATAGTGATGGGTGAGTGTGAGTGAGTGGTGATAGTGGTGGGTGAGGGTGATTAGTGGGTGTGTGAGTGTGAGTGGTGATAGCGGTGGGTGAGTGTGAGTGAGTGGTGATAGTGGTGGGTGAGGGTGTGAGTGGTGGGTGAGGGTGAGTGGTGATAGTGATGGGTGAGTGTGAGTGAGTGGTGATAGTGGTGGGTGAGGGTGATTAGTGGGTGTGTGAGTGTGAGTGGTGATAGTGGTGGGTGAGGGTGAGTGAGTGGTGTGTGAATGGTGATAGTGGTGTGTGAGGGTGATTACTGAGTGAGTGGTGATAGTGGTGGGTGAGTGTGAGGGTGATTAGTGGGTGAGTGAGTGGTGATAGTGGTGGGTGAGGGTGATTAGTGGGTGAGTGAGTGGTGATAGTGGTGGGTGAGGGTGATTAGTGGGTGAGTGTGAGTGGTGATAGTGGTGGGTGAGGGTGATTAGTGGGTGGGTGAGTGGTGATAGTGGTGGGTGAGTGTGAGGGTGATTAGTGGGTGAGTGTGAGTGGTGATAGTGGTGTGTGAGGGTGATTCGTGGGTGAGTGAGTGGTGATAGTGGTGGGTGAGTGTGAGGTTGATTACTGAGTGAGTGGTGATAGTGGTGTGTGAGGGTGATTAGTGGGTGAGTGAGTGGTGATAGTGGTGGGTGAGTGTGAGGGTGATTAGTGGGTGAGTGAGTGGTGATAGTGGTGGGTGAGCGATGAGTATAGGTGTATCCCAGCACTCTAAAAAGAGACGCGCAGGCATGAACACACAGACGAAAATGCGTCAACACGGCAATAATGTTATAGTAGCAGACAAATACTCTATAAACGCGCGGAGGGGAAAAACCGGAGGAACACAGAGAAAAATCCACACGGTGACCACCACAGGGAGAGAGGAGAGAGAGAGACCCAAACTCCAAATATACAGCAACAGGCGTCAAAGTCGGGATCGAACCCACGACCTCCTGGACATCAGGCGAGGTAGTTAACATCTCCTAGCCACCGTGATGATGATGATGATGAGAGAGAGACACGCAAACTCCAAATATACAGCAACAGGAGTCAGTGTCGGGATCGAACCCACGACCTCCTGTAGACCAGGCGAGGTAGTTAACATCTCCTAGCCACTGTGATGATGATGAGAGAGAGACACGCAAACTCCAAATATACAGCAACAGGAGTCAGGGTCGGGATCGAACCCACGACCTCCTGGACATCAGGCGAGGTAGTTAACATCTCCTAGCCACCGTGATGATGATGATGAGAGAGAGACACCACAAACTCCAAATATACAGCAGCAGGAGCCAGGGTCGGGATCGAACCCACGACCTCCTGGACATCAGGCGAGGTAGTTAACATCTCCTAGCCACCGTGATGATGATGATGATGAGAGAGAGAGAGATACACAAACTCCAAATATACAGCAGGCGTCGTCAGGGTCGGGATCGAACCCACGACCTCCTGGACACCAGGCGAGGTAGTCAACATCTCATAGCCACCGTGATGATGATGATGAGAGAGAGAGACACGCAAACTCCAAATATACAGCAACAGGAGTCAGTGTCGGGATCGAACCCACGACCTCCTGTAGACCAGGCGAGGTAGTCAACATCTCATAGCCACCGTGATGATGATGAGAGAGAGAGATACACAAACTCCAAATATACAGCAGCAGACGTCGTCAGGGTCGGGATCGAACCCACGACCTCCTGTACATCAGGCGAGGTAGTTAACATCTCCTAGCCACCGTGACGATATGGTTAATGTCGTGGTTGAGAAAGGTGGTCGAGGTGGTGGTTAATGTTGTGGTTGAGGGTGTGGTTGAGGAGGTGGTTAATGTTGTGGTTGAGGGTGTGGTTGAGGAGGTGGTTAATGTTGTGGTTGAGGGTGTGGTTAATGTTGTGGTTAATGTTGTGGTTAATGTTGTGGTTGAGGGTGTGGTTGAGGAGGTGGTTAATGTTGTGGTTGAGGGTGTGGTTAATGTTGTGGTTAATGTTGTGGTTGAGGGTGTGGTTGAGGGTGTGGTTGAGGGTGTGGTTGAGGGTGTGGTTGAGGGTGTGGTTGAGGGTGTGGTTGAGGGTGTGGTTGAGGGTGTGGTTGAGGGTGTGGTTGAGGGTGTGGTTAATGTTGTGGTTAAAGTTGTGGTTGAGGAGGTGGTTAATGTTGTGGATGAGGTGGTGGTTAATGGTGTGGTTAATGTTGCGGTTGAGAAAGGTGGTCGAGGTGGTGGTTAATGTTGTGGTTAATGTTGTGGTTGAGGGTGTGGTTGAGGAGGTGGTTAATGTTGTGGTTGAGGGTGTGGTTAATGTTGTGGTTAATGTTGTGGTTGAGGGTGTGGTTGAGGGTGTGGTTGAGGGTGTGGTTGAGGGTGTGGTTGAGGGTGTGGTTGAGGGTGTGGTTGAGGGTGTGGTTGAGGGTGTGGTTGAGGGTGTGGTTGAGGGTGTGGTTGAGGGTGTGGTTAATGTTGTGGTTAAAGTTGTGGTTGAGGAGGTGGTTAATGTTGTGGATGAGGTGGTGGTTAATGGTGTGGTTAATGTTGCGGTTGAGAAAGGTGGTCGAGGTGGTGGTTAATGTCGTGGGTGAGGGTGTGGTTGAGAGTGTGGTTAATGTTGTGGTTAATGTGGTTGATGTTGTGGTTGAGGGTGTGGTTATTGTTGTGGTTATTGTTGTGGTTGAGGGTGTGGTTGAGGGTGTGGTTGAGGGTGTGGTTGAGGGTGTGGTTGAGGGTGTGGTTAATGTTGTGGTTAAAGTTGTGGTTGAGGAGGTGGTTAATGTTGTGGATGAGGAGGTGGTTAACGGTGTGGTTAACGGTGTGGTTGAGGGTGTGGTTGAGGGTGTGGTTAATGTTGTGGTTGAGGGTGTGGTTAATGTTGTGGTTGAGGAGGTGGTTAACGGTGTGGTTAACGGTGTGGTTAACGGTGTGGTTAACGGTGTGGTTGAGGGTGTGGTTGAGGGTGTGGTTGAGGGTGTGGTTAATGTTGTGGTTGAGGGTGTGGTTAATGTTGTGGTTGAGGAGGTGGTTAACGGTATGGTTAACGGTGTGGTTGAGGGTGTGGTTGAGGGTGTGGTTAATGTGGTTGAGGAGGTGGTTAACGGTGTGCTTAATGTGGTTGGGAAAGGTGGTCGAGGTGGTGGTTAATGTCGTGGTTGAGGGTGTGGTTGAGGGTGTGGTTAATGTTGTGGTTAATGTGGTTGATGTTGTGGTTGAGGAGGTGGTTAACTTTGTGGTTATTGTTGTGGTTGAGGGTGTGGTTAATGGTGTGGTTAATGTGGTTAATGTTGTGGTTGAGGAGGTGGTTAACGGTGTGGTTATTGTTGTGGTTGAGGGTGTGGTTAATGGTGTGGTTAATGTGGTTAATGTTGTGGTTGAGGAGGTGGTTAATGTGGTTAATGTTGTGGTTAATGTGGTTATTGTTGTGGTTGAGGGTGTGGTTAATGTTGTGGTTGAGGAGGTGGTTAACGGTGTGGTTGGTGTTTGTTGTGTGTCCAGGTTCGGGCTGAGTAACAAGTTTGACACAGAATTCCCTTCTGTCCTCACGGGGAAGGTACGTATGAGCACGTCTCTCTGTGGTGTCTCCGTGTCTCCGTGTCTCTCTGCGGTGTCTCTGTGTCTCTCTGCGGTGTCTCTGTGTATCTCTGCGGTGTCTCTGTGTGTCTCTGCGGTGTCTTCGTGTCTCTGTCTCTCTCTTGCGTGTCTCTCTGTGGTGTTTGTGTGTCTGTCTGTCTCTGGGTGTCTCTCTCTGTGGTGTCTCTGTGTCTCTCTGTGGTGTCTCCGTGTGTCTCTCTTGTGTATGTCTCTAGTCTGTCTCTCTGCGTTGTCTCTGTGCGTGTGTCTCTGTGGTATTTCCGTGTCTCCGTCTCTCTCTTGCGTGTCTCTCTATGGTGTTTGTGTGTCTGCCTGTAGGTGTTTCTGTGTCTCTCTGGGTGTCTCTCTCTGTGTGTGTGTCTTTGTGCACGTGTCTGTGCGGGTGCGTGCTCCGGTTTGACAGCAGAGGTCTCACTCCGAATCAGTCGAGCGGCAATATTTTTTCATCGCTTCCGTAACGCTGCTGTGTGGAAGCTACCTGGGTCTGTCGCTCCACACGAAGCTTCGGGTCTTCTCGGCCACGGTCATGCCCTTCATTCTCTACGCTTGCAAAACGTGGACCCCCCCTAATGGAACGTCTTCGCCGGTTGGAAACATTTAGGCTGGCCTGCCTACGATCCATCCTGGGTTTAACCTGCAGGCTGGATTGTGTGAGGAGCTCACAGATCCTTGAAAGATCTCGGACAAGGTCCCATCGGTGAGCTCCTCCGGCGGGCAAGGCTGCGATGGCTGGGTCATGTAGCCCGCATGCCCAGCCACCGCATGCCGAAACAGCTTTTGTTCGGCCGGATCGAGGGGGCAAAACGGGCGCGGCACGGGGCTAGAGAAGAGATGGAGTGATGTGGTACAGGAGGACGTGGAGCTGAGTGGACTTGCCGATGACCGGTACCAGCGGTGTCAAGATCGCCCTCTGTGGAGGGGGAGGCTCGTGAAGGACGCTGCTGCTGGGCAGTTGGAGGCAGTCGCCCTCCAGCAATAACGGAGGGCAGAGGAGCGACGCTCACAACAACGAGCGGAGTGCCGGGCGGCTAAAATGCAGGCAGCTGGCAGAGCAGGGGACACCACTGGTGCATCGGCCAGTCATCTCAGTCGGTCAACCCGTGGCACCTGCTGGGTCTGCCCCGTGACCTCCTGCCAGCGGGCGTTCGACACTTCACGTGGCCTCAGGGTGCACATAGCCTGGCACAGGCGCCGTGGTGACGTCACTGCCACTTAGTGGCGAATGGCGGTTGTTGTTGTGTGTGTGTAGCGGTAGTGTAGCGGTTAGCGCTACGCTGCGCTATGAACCTGGCGACCCGGGTTCGATTCCCGCTCACGGCCAACACCGTCGGTGACGATTATCTGAACCGGTCCCGGGCCTCCCCTAGGTCGACTCCGCCTCAAATGAGTACCTGGTGCGGTGTGTGGTAAAACATCGCCACTGGGGAGACAAAGGCGGTCGGGCGTGGTAGCTGGCCACCCACCCCCTCGTGTGCCGTTCCGGCCTTCATAGGTGCTACTAGCTAACAGCACTTGCCCCTACAGTCTGTTAAGGCTACACGGGGGATCTTTTTGTGTCTGTGTGTGTCTGTGTGTCTCTGTGTGTTGTGTCTGTGTGTCTCTGTGTGTGTCTCTGTGTGTCTCTGTGTGTGTGTCTGTGTGTGTTGTGTATGTGTCTCTGTGTTGTTGGTGTGTGTGTCTGTGTGTGTGTCTGTGTGTGGTGCTCGCTAACAGCACTTGCCCCTACATTCTGTTAAGGCTACACAGGGGATCTTTGGTGTCTGTGTGTGTCTGTGTGTGTGTGTGTTGTGTCTGTGTGTTTCTGTGTGTGTGTCTCTGTGTGTGTGTCTCTGTGTTGTTGGTGTGTGTGTGTCTGTGTGTGGTGCTCGCTAACAGCACTTGCCCCTACAGTCTGTTAAGGCTACACGGGGGATCTTTGGTGTCTGTGTGTATGTGTGTGTGTGTTGTGTCTGTGTGTCTCTGTGTGTGTGTCTGTGTGTCTCTGTGTTGTTGGTGTGTGTGTGTCTGTTTTTGGTGTGTGTCTGTGTGTGTGTCTGTGTGTGTGTCTCTGTGTGTGCTGCTCGCTAACAGCACTTGCCCCTACAGTCTGCTAAGGCTACACGGGGGATCTTTTTGTGTCTGTGTGTGTGTTGTGTCTGTGTGTCTGTGTGTGTCTCTGTGTGTGTGTCAGTGTGTCTCTGTGTTTGTCTGTGTGTGTCTGTGTGTGTGTCTGTGTGTGTGTCTGTGTGTGGTGCTCGCTAACAGCACTTGCCCCTACAGTCTGCTAAGGCTACACGGGGGGATCTTTTGTCTTTGTACGTGCATGTGTGTGTGTACCTGTGTGTTTATGTGCGTACACGCGCGCATAGAAGTGCGTGTTTGCATGCGTATACGTATGTTGTTGTCTGTGTACGTGCGTGTGTGTACGTGTGTGCGTACGTGCGTGTGTGTACGTGTGCGTGCGTGTGCGTGCGTGCGTGTGCGTGCGTGTGTGTGTGTACGTGTGTGTACGTGTGTGCGTGTGTGACGTGTGTACGTGTGTGTACGTGCGTGCGTGTGCGTGCGTGTGTGTACGTGTGTGTGCGTGTGTGTGCGTGTGTGTGCGTGCGTGTGCGTGCGTGTGTGTGTGTACGTGTGTGACGTGTGTGTACGTGTGTGTACGTGTGTGTACGTGTGTGCGTGCGTGTGACGTGCGTGTGTGTGTGTGTGTGTACGTGTGTGCGTGCGTGTGTGTGTACGTGTGTGTACGTGTGCGTGTGACGTGTGTGTACGTGTGCGTGTGACGTGTGTGTACGTGTGCGTGTGACGTGTGTGTGTGTGTGTGTACGTGTGTGTACGTGTGTGTACGTGTGCGTGTGACGTGTGTGTACGTGTGTGTACGTGTGTGTGTGTGTGTGTGTGACTCAGGTAGCCCCTGAGGAGTTCAAGTCGAGTGTGGGGCGTGTGAACGGCTGCCTCAAGAAGACCATGCCAGTCAACTTCCGCTGGCTGCTGTGCGGCTGCCTCTGCTGCTGCTGCACCCTCGGATGCAGCCTGTGGCCCGTGGTGTGCCTCAGCAAGAGGGTGAGCGGGCCTCGCCGCACGTCGCTCACCACTCACGCTCACCACTCACGCGCACCACTCACGCTCACGCTCACCACTCACGCACGTCACTCACACTCACCACTCACGCTCACCACTCACGCTCGCTACTCACGCACATCACTCACACCCGTCACACGCACCACTCACGCACGTCACTCACGCTCACCACTCACGCTCGCCACTCACGCTCACCACTCACGCTCACCACTCACGCTCACCGCTCACCACTCACGCTCACCACTCACACCCGTCACGCTCACCACTCACGCTCACGCTCACCACTCACGCTCACCACTCACGCACGTCACTCACGCTCACCGCTCACGCTCACCACTCACGCACGTCACTCACGCTCACCACTCACACTCACGCTCACCGCTCACGCTCGCCGCTCACGCTCATCACTCACGCTCACCACTCACACTCACGCACGTCACTCACGCTCACCGCTCACGCTCACCACTCACGCACGTCACTCACCACTCACGCTCACCACTCACGCTCACCACGCACGTCACTCACACTCACCGCTCGTCACTCGCGCTCACCACTCACGCTCACCGCTCACGCACGTCGCTCACACTCACGCTCGTCACTCACGCTCACCACTCACGCTCACCACTCACCGCTCACTCACGCTCACCACTCACCGCTCACTCACGCTCACCACTCACGCTCACCACTCACGCTCACCGCTCACGCACGTCGCTCACACTCACGCTCGTCACTCACGCTCACCACTCACGCACGTCGCTCACGCTCACCACTCACGCTCACCACTCACGCTCACCACTCACGCACATCACTCACGCTCACCACTCACGCTCACCACTCACGCTCGCCACTCACGCTCGCCACTCACGCTCACCACTCACGCTCACCACTCACGTTCACCACTCACGCTCACCACTCACGCTCACCACTCACGCTCACCACTCACGCTCACCACTCACGCTCACCACTCACGCACGTCACTCACGCTCACCACTCACACTCACGCTCACCGCTCACCGCTCACGCTCGCCGCTCACGCTCATCACTCACGCTCACCACTCACACTCACCACTCACGCACGTCACTCACGCTCACCACTCACGCTCACCGCTCACCGCTCACGCTCGCCGCTCACGCTCATCACTCACGCTCACCACTCACACTCACCACTCACGCACGTCACTCACGCTCACCACTCACACTCACGCTCACCGCTCACCGCTCACGCTCGCCGCTCACGCTCATCACTCACGCTCACCACTCACACTCACGCACGTCACTCACGCTCACCGCTCACGCTCAGCACTCACGCACGTCACTCACCACTCACGCTCACCACTCACGCTCACCACGCACGTCACTCACACTCACCGCTCGTCACTCGCGCTCACCACTCACACTCACCACTCACGCTCACCACTCACACTCACCACTCACGCTCGGCGCTCACCACTCACGCTCACCACTCACGCTCACCACTCACGCTCACCACTCACACTCACCACTCACACTCACCACTCGCGCTCACCACTCACATTCACCACTCACACTCACCACTCACGCTCACCACTCGCACTCACCACTCACACTCACCACTCACACTGTGTGCCGTTTCAGACGCGCAAGTCCATAGAGAAGTTACTCGAGTGGGAGGACAGCAGACTGTACCACAAGGTGGGTGGCTGTGTGGGCGTCGCACGCAAAGCACTTGCCTCATATGAACCACGGTACCTGTGTGGGGAGTCTATGGGTGTCCGTGTGGTGAGTCTATGGGTCTCTGTGTGGTGAGTCTATGGGTCTCTGTGGTGAGTCTGTGGGTCTCTGTGTGGTGGGTCTATGGGTCTCTGTGTGGTGAGTCTATGGGTCTCCGTGTGGTGAGTCTATGGGTCTCCGTGTGGTGGGTCTATGGGTCTCTGTGTGGTGAGTCTATGGGTCTCTGTGGTGAGTCTGTGGGTCTCTGTGTGGTGGGTCTATGGGTCTCTGTGTGGTGAGTCTATGGGTCCCTGTGTGGTGAGTCTATGGGTCTCCGTGTGGTGGGTCTATGGGTCTCTGTGTGGTGAGTCTATGGGTCTCTGTGGTGAGTCTGTGGGTCTCTGTGGTGAGTCTGTGGGTCTCCGTGTGGTGAGTCTATGGGTCTCCGTGTGGTGGGTCTATGAGTCTCTGTGTGGTGAGTCTATGGGTCTCCGTGTGGTGAGTCTATGGGTCTCTGTGTGATGAGTCTATGGGTCTCCGTGTGGTGAGTCTATGGGTGTCCGTGTGGGGAGTCTATGGGTCTCTGTGTGGGGAGTCTATGGGTCTCTGTGGTGAGTCTGTGGGTCTCTGTGGTGAGTCTGTGGGTCTCCGTGTGGTGAGTCTATGGGTCTCCGTGTGGTGGGTCTATGAGTCTCTGTGTGGTGAGTCTATGGGTCTCCGTGTGGTGAGTCTATGGGTCTCCGTGTGGTGAGTCTATGGGTGTCCGTGTGGGGAGTCTATGGGTCTCTGTGTGGGGAGTCTATGGGTATCTGTGTGGTGAGTCTATGGGTGTCCGTGTGGGGAGTCTATGGGTCTCTGTGTGGTGAGTCTGTGGGTCTCTGTGTGGTGAGTCTGTGGGTCTCTGTGGTGAGTCTGTGGGTCTCCGTGTGGTGAGTCTATGGGTCTCCGTGTGGTGGGTCTATGGGTCTCTGTGTGGTGAGTCTATGGGTCTCTGTGGTGAGTCTGTGGGTCTCCATGTGGTGAGTCTATGGGTCTCCGTGTGGTGGGTCTATGGGTGTCTGTGTGGGGAGTCTGTGGGTCTCTGTGTGGTGGGTCTATGGGTCTCTGTGTGGTGAGTCTGTGGGTCTCTGTGTGGGGAGTCTATGGGTGTCTGTGTGGTGAGTCTGTGGGTCTCTGTGTGGTGAGTTTGTGGGTCTCTGTGGTGAGTCTGTGGGTCTCCGTGTGGTGAGTCTGTGGGTGTCTGTATGTGGTGAGTCTATGAGTCTCTGTGTGGTGAGTCTATGGGTCTCTGTGTGGTGAGTCTATGGGTGTCCGTGTGGGGAGTCTATGGGTCTCTGTGTGGGGAGTCTATGGGTATCTGTGTGGTGAGTCTATGGGTGTCTGTGTGGGGAGTCTATGGGTCTCTGTGTGGTGAGTCTGTGGGTCTCTGTGTGGTGAGTCTGTGGGTCTCTGTGGTGAGTCTGTGGGTCTCCGTGTGGTGAGTCTATGGGTCTCCGTGTGGTGAGTCTGTGGGTGTCTGTATGTGGTGAGTCTATGAGTCTCTGTGTGGTGAGTCTATGGGTCTCCGTGTGGTGAGTCTATGGGGTCTCCGTGTGGTGAGTCTATGGGTGTCCGTGTGGGGAGTCTATGGGTCTCTGTGTGGGGAGTCTATGGGTATCTGTGTGGTGAGTCTATGGGTGTCCGTGTGGGGAGTCTATGGGTCTCTGTGTGGTGAGTCTGTGGGTCTCTGTGTGGTGAGTCTGTGGGTCTCTGTGGTGAGTCTGTGGGTCTCCGTGTGGTGAGTCTATGGGTCTCCGTGTGGTGGGTCTATGGGTGTCTGTGTGGGGAGTCTATGGGTGTCCGTGTGGTGGGTCTATGGGTGTCTGTGTGGGGAGTCTATGGGTGTCCGTGTGGTGGGTCTATGGGTGTCTGTGTGGTGAGTCTATGGGTCTCTGTGTGGTGAGTCTAATGGTCTCTGTGTGGGGAGTCTATGGGTGTCCGTGTGGTGGGTCTATGGGTCTCTGTGTGGGGAGTCTATGGGTGTCCATGTGGTGAGTCAATGGGTCTGTGTGGTGAGTCTGTGGGTCTGTGTGGTGAGTCTGTGGGTCTCTGTGTGGTGAGTCTATGGGTCTCTGTGTGGGGAGTCTATGGGTGTCCATGTGGTGAGTCTGTGGGTGTCTGTGTGGGGAGTCTATGGGTGTCCGTGTGGTGAGTCAATGGGTCTGTGTGGTGAGTCTGTGGGTCTGTGTGGTGAGTCTGTGGGTCTGTGTGGTGAGTCTATGGGTCTCTGTGTGGGGAGTCTATGGGTGTCCATGTGGTGAGTCTATGGGTCTCTGTGTGGGGAGTCTATGGGTCTCTGTGTGGTGAGTCTGTGGGTCTCTGTGTATGTAAGTCTGTGGGTCTCTGTGTGGTGAGTCTATGGGTCTCTGTGTGGGGAGTCTATGGGTCTCTGTGTGGTGAGTCTGTAGGTCTCTGTGTGGGGAGTCTGTGGGTCTCTGTGTGGTGAGTCTGTGGGTCTCTGTGTGGTGAGTCTGTGGGTCTCTGTGTGGTGAGTCTGTGGGTCTGTGTGGTGAGTCTATGGGTCTCTGTGTGGGGAGTCTGTGGGTCTCTGTGTGGTGAGTCTGTAGGTCTCTGTGTGGGGAGTCTGTGGGTCTCTGTGTGGTGAGTCTGTGGGTCTGTGTGGTGAGTCTATGGGTGTCCGTGTGGTGAGTCTATGGGTCTCTGTGTGGGGAGTCTATGGGTGTCTGTGTGGGGAGTCTGTGGGTACCTGTGTGGTGGGTCTATGGGTGTCTGTGTGGTGGGTCTATGGGTCTCTGTGTGGTGAGTCTATGGGTCTCTGTGTGGTGAGTCTATGGGTGTCCGTGTGGGGAGTCTATGGGTCTCTGTGTGGGGAGTCTATGGGTCTCTGTGTGGTGAGTCTGTGGGTCTCTGTGTGGGGAGTCTATGGGTCTCTGTGTGGGGAGTCTATGGGTGTCCGTGTGGTGAGTCTATGGGTCTCTGTGTGGTGAGTCTATGGGACTCTGTGTGGTGAGTCTATGGGTCTCTGTGTGGGGAGTTTGTGGGTTTCTGTGGTGAGTCTGTGGGTCTCCGTGTGGTGAGTCTATGGGTCTCCGTGTGGTGAGTCTATGGGTCTCTGTGTGGGGAGTTTGTGGGTCTCTGTGGTGAGTCTGTGGGTCTCCGTGTGGTGAGTCTGTGGGTGTCTGTGTGTGGTGAGTCTATGAGTCTCTGTGTGGTGAGTCTATGGGTCTCCGTGTGGTGAGTCTATGGGTCTCTGTGTGGTGAGTCTATGGGTCTCTGTGTGGTGAGTCTATGGGTCTCTGTGTGGGGAGTCTATTGGTCTCTGTGTGGTGAGTCTATGGGTCTCTGTGTGGGGAGTCTATGGGTCTCCGTGTGGTGAGTCTATGGGTCTCTGCGGTGAGTCTATGGGTCTCTGTGTGATGAGTCTGTGGGTTTCTGTGTGGGTGAGTCTATGGGTCTGTGTGGTGAGTCTATGGGTGTCCGTGTGGGGAGTCTATGGGTGTCCGTGTGGTGAGTCTGTGGGGCTCTGTGTGGGGAGTCTATGGTTATCTGTGTGGTGAGTCTGTGGGTCTCTGTGTGGTGGGTCTATGAGTCTCTGTGTGGTGAGTCTATAGGTCTCCGTGTGGTGAGTCTATGGGTCTCCGTGTGATGAGTCTATGGGTCTCTGTGTGAGTGAGTCTGTGGGTCTCTGTGTGATGAGTCTATGGGTCTCTGTGTGATGAGTCTATGGGTCTCTGTGTGGTGAGTCTATGGGTCTCCGTGTGGGGAGTCGATGGGTCTCCGTGTGGGGAGTCTGTGGGTCTCTGTGTGGTGAGTCTATGACTCTGTGTGAGTCTATGGGTCTCCTTGTGGTGAGTTATGGGTCTCTGTGTGGGGAGTCTATGGGTCTCTGTGTGGCGAGTTTATGGGTCTCTTTGTGGTGAGTCTGTGGGTCTCTGTGTGGGGAGTCTATGGGTCTCTGTGTGGGGAGTCTATGGGTCTCTGTGGTGAGTCTGTGGGTCTCTGTGTGATGAGTCTATGGGTCTCTGTGTGGTGAGTCTATGGGTCTCTGTGTGATGAGTCTATGGGTCTCTGTGTGGTGAGTCTATGGGTCTCTGTGTGGGGAGTCTATGGGTCTCTGTGTGATGAGTCTATGGGTCTCTGTGTGATGAGTCTATGGGTCTCTGTGTGGGGAGCCCATGGGTCTCTGTGTGATGAGTCTATGGGTCTCTGTGTGGTGAGTCTATGGGTCTCAGTGTGGTGAGTCTATGGGTCTCTGTGTGGGGAGTCTATGGGTCTCTGTGTGATGAGTCTATGGGTCTGTGTGGGGAGTCTATGGGTCTCAGTGTGGGTGAGTCTGTGGGTCTCTGTGTGAGTCTATGGGTCTCAGTGTGGGTGAGTCTGTGGGTCTCTGTGTGGTGGGTCTATGAGTCTGTGTGGTGAGTCTATAGGTCTCCGTGCGGTGAGTCTATGGGTCTCTGTGTGATGAGTCTATGGGTCTCTGTGTGAGTGAGTCTATGGGTCTCTGTGTGAGTGAGTCTGTGGGTCTCTGTGTGATGAGTCTATGGGTCTCTGTGGTGAGTCTGTGGGTCTCTGTGTGATGAGTCTATGGGTCTCTGTGTGGGTGAGTCTGTGGGTCTCTATGAACCACGTGTGTATGCCACTCTGCTGTGTCTGTAGTTGGGGCTGCATTGGCGCCTGAGCAAGAGGAAGTGTGAGAGTAGTAACATGGTGGAATACGTGAGTCCACCACTTACTCACCACTCACCCACCACTCACCCACCACTCACCCTCACCACTCACTCACAGTAACATGGTGGAATACGTGAGTCCACCACTTACTCAACACTCACCCTCACCACTCACCCTCACCACTCACTCACCACTCACTCACAGTAACATGGTGGAATACGTGAGTCCACCACTTACTCACCACTCACTCACCACTCACCCACCACTCACCCTCACCACTCACTCACAGTAACATGGTGGAATACGTGAGTCCACCATTTACTCAACACTCACCCTCACCACTCACCCTCACCACTCACTCACCACTCACTCACAGTAACATGGTGGAATACGTGAGTCCACCACTTACTCAACCCTCACCACTCACTCACCACTCACTCACAGTAACATGGTGGAATACGTGAGTCCACCATTTACTCAACACTCACCCTCACCACTCACTCACCACTCACCGTCACCACTCACTCACTCACCACTCACCCTCACCACTCACTCACTCACCACTCACCCTCACCACTCACTCACAGTAACATGGTGGAATACGTGAGTCCACCACTTACTCACCACTCACTCACCCTCACCACTCACTCACCACTCACTCACAGTAACATGGTGGAATACGTGAGTCCACCATTTACTCAACACTCACCCTCACCACTCACCCTCACCACTCACCACTCACCCTCACCATTCACTCACCACTCACTCACAGTAACATGGTGGAATACGTGAGTCCACCATTTACTCAACACTCACCCTCACCACTCACCCTCACCACTCACTCACCACTCACTCACAGTAACATGGTGGAATACGTGAGTCCACCACTTACCACTCACTCACCACGCACTCACCACTCACTCACCACTCACTCACCCACCACTCACCCTCACCACTCACTCACAGTAACATGGTGGAATACGTGAGTCCACCATTTACTCAACACTCACCCTCACCACTCACCCTCACCACTCACTCACCACTCACTCACCCACCACTCACCCTCACCACTCACTCACAGTAACATGGTGGAATACGTGAGTCCACCATTTACTCAACACTCACCCTCACCACTCACTCACCACTCACCCTCACCACTCACTCACTCACCACTCACTCACTCACCACTCACCCTCACCACTCACTCTCTCACCACTCACCCTCACCACTCACTCACTCACTCACCACTCACCCTCACCACTCACTCACCACTCACTCACCCTCACCACTCACTCACCACTCACTCACCCTCACCATTCACTCACCACTCACTCACAGTAACATGGTGGAATACGTGAGTCCACCACTTACTCACCACTCACTCACCACTCACCCTCACCACTCACTCACCACTCACTCACCCACCACTCACCCTCACCACTCACTCACAGTAACATGGTGGAATACGTGAGTCCACCATTTACTCAACACTCACCCTCACCACTCACTCACCACTCACCCTCACCACTCACTCACCACTCACCCTCACCACTCACTCACCCTCACCACTCACTCACCACTCACTCACAGTAACATGGTGGAATACGTGAGTCCACTACTCACTCAACACTCACCCTCACCACTCACCCTCACCACTCACTCACCCTCACCACTCACTCACCCTCACCACTCACTCACCACTCACTCACAGTAACATGGTGGAATACGTGAGTCCACCACTCACTCACCACTCACTCACTACTCACCCTCACCACTCACCCTCACCACTCACTCACCACTCACTCACCACTCACAGTAACATGGTGGAATACGTGAGTCCACCACTCACTCACCACTTACTCACTCACCCTCACTCACCCTCACTCACTCACTCACCACTCACTCACCACTCACTCACCCTCACCAGTCACTCACAGTAACATGGTGGACTACGTGAGTCCACCACACTCACCACTCACTCACCATTCACTCACCCTCACCACTCACCATTCACTCACAGTAACATGGTGGAATGCGTGAGTCCACCACTCACTCACCACTCACTCACTCGCCACTCACTCACCACTCACTCACCACTCATTCACCACTCACCATGCACTCACCACTCACTCACCACTCACTCACTCACCCTCACCACTCACTCACCACTCACTCACAGTCCATCACTCACCATTCACCACTCACTCACCACTCACTCACCACTCACCATTCACTCACCACTCACCCTCACCACTCACTCACCACTCACTCACCACTCACCCTCACCACTCACTCACCACTCACTCACCCTCACCAGTCACTCACAGTAACATGGTGGAATACGTGAGTCCACCACTCACCACTCACTCACCACTAACTCACCACTCACTCACCACTCACTCACTCACCACTCACCCTCACCACTCACCCTCACCACTCACTCACCACTCACTCACAGTAACATGGTGGAATACGTGAGTCCACCTTTAGCCTCACCACTCACTCACCACTCACCCTCACCACTCACTCACCACTCACTCACCACTCACCCTCACCACTCACTCACCACTCACTCACCCTCACCAGTCACTCACAGTAACATGGTGGAATACGTGAGTCCACCACTCACCACTCACTCACCACTAACTCACCACTCACTCACCACTCACTCACTCACCACTCACCCTCACCACTCACCCTCACCACTCACTCACCACTCACTCACAGTAACATGGTGGAATACGTGAGTCCACCTTTAGCCTCACCACTCACTCACCACTCACTCACTCACCCTCACCACTCACTCACCACTCACTCACCACTCACTCACTCACTCCCACTCACTCCCACTCACCACTCACTCACCACTCACTCACCACTCACTCACTCAACCTCACCATTCACTCACAGTAACATGGTAGAATACGTGAGTCCACCACTCACTCACTCACCACTCACTCAACACTCACTCACCACTCACTCACCACTCACTCACCTTCACCACTCACTCACCACTCACTCACACTCACCACTCACTCACCATTCACTCACAGTAACATGGTGGAATGCACGAGTCCACCTTTAGCCTCACCACTCACTCACCACTCACCCACACACACACCACTCACTTAGCATTCATTCACCCTCACACTCACCCATCACTGTCCCCCTCACCACTCTGACCACTCACCCACACTCACCACTCACCCACACTCAACATTCACTCACACTCACAACACCACTCACTCACACTCACAACACCACTCACTCCACCCACACACTCACCCACCACTCACCACTCACCCACACTCAACATTCACTCACTCTCACAACACCACCCACTCACCCTCACAACACCACTCACTCACCCTCACAACACCACTCACTCACCCTCACAACACCACTTACTCCACCCACACACTCACCCACCACTCACTCACCACTCACTCACCACTCACTCACCACTCACTCACCACTCACTCACTCACCCTCACCACTCACTCACCACTCACTCACCACTCACTCACTCATTCACACTCACCACTCACTCACCCACACTCACCACTCACTCACCCTCACAACACCACTCACTCACCCTCACAACACCACTCACTCCACCCACACACTCACCCACCACTCACCACTCACCCTCACAACACCACTCACTCACCCTCACAACACCACTCACTCCACCCACCCACACACTCACCCTCACCACTCACTCCACCCACACACTCACCCATCACTCTACACCACTCACCCTCACCACTCATCCTCACCACACCACTCACTCAACCTCATTCTCACCCACCACTCACACTCACCACACCATTCACTCATGCTCATGTTCACAGCACCACTCACTCACCCACCACTCACTCACCCTCACACTCACCCACCACTCTCACCACTCACCCTCACCACAGCACTCACTCACCCACACCACTCACTCACCCTCACCATACCACTCACTCACCCTCACTCCACCCACACACTCACCCACCACTCTCACCACTCACCCACCACTCTCACCACTCACCCTCCACTCTCACCACTCACCACGAACCATGTCCATGTGTGTGTGTCCGTCCGTGTGTGTGTCCGTGTGTGTGTCCGTGTGTGTGTCCGTGTGTGTGTCCGTGTGTGTGTCCGCGTGTGTGTGTGTCCGTGTGTCCATCCGTGTGTGTGTGTCCGTGTGTGTGTGTCCGTGTGTGTAGCAGTTAGCGCTACGCTGCGCTATGAACCTGGCGACCCGGGTTCGATTCCCGCTCACGGCCAACACCAGTGACGATTATATGAACCGGTCCCGGGCATCCCCTAGCTCGACTCAGCCTCAAATGAGTACCTGGTGCAGTGTGTAGTAAACATCGCCACTGGGGAGACAAAGGCGGCCGGGCGTGGTGCTGGCCACCCACCCCCTCGTGTGCCGTTCCGGCCTTCATAGGTGCTCGCTAACAGCACTTGCCCCTACAGTCTGTTAATGCTATACAGGGGATCTTTGTCTGTGTGTGTCCGTGTGTGTGTCTCCCACAGGTGATTCTCATTGAGTTCATACCAAAATGCTCCATCTTTAGACCGGACTAACATCAACAACAACAACAACGTCATCAACATCTGTCATCAACAACGTCATCAACCAACAACATCAACGTTTGCCATCATCAACAACATATGGCATCAACGATATCTACAACATATGTCATCAGCAACGTCAACAATATCAACAACATCGTCAACAACATCGTCAACAACAACCTCACCAACGTCAACAATATCAACAACATCGTCAACAACATCAGCAACAACAACCTCACCAACGTCAACAACATCTGTCATCAACAACGTCACCATCTGTCAGCAACGTCAACAACATCAACAACATCAGCAACCATCATCAACAACAACAACAACATTTTATCGATAACAAGCTTGGTCATGTGATCGTGCCGGGTCACATGACCCCTCTCATGGTGGAGGGGGGGGGGGGGGGAGGCGGCACTCGACCCCACTGAGGTTAAATGTGAAAGGTTACACAGGTTACACGGTTCCAGGGTTAAAGGTTAAACTAATGCCCCCTCCCCACTCTGCCCCTCCATCTCTCCCCCCACTCTCCCCACTCTCTCCCCACTCTCCCCCTCCCCCCACTCTCCCCCTCCCCCCACTCTCCCCCCACTCTGCCTCCCCCCACTCTCCCCCCACTCTGCCTCCCCCCACTCTCCCCCCACTCTCCCTCCACTCTCCCTCTCCCCCCACTCTGTCTCTCTCTCTCTCCCCCCCACTCTCACCACTCTCTCTCTCTCCCCCCACTCTCCCCCCACTCTCCCCCCACTCTCCCCCCACTCTCCCCCCACTCTCCCCACTCTGCCTCTCCATCTCTCCCTCTGATGCTGCTGATGATGGTGATGATATTGGTGGTATTGATGATGATGGTGATGGCGGTGGTGATGGTGGTGATGGTGGTGGTGATGGTGATGGCGGTAGTGGAGGTGATGATGGTGATGGTGGTATTGATGAAGGCGGTGTTAATGGCGTTGGTGGTGGTGGTGATGATGGTGATGGGGGTGGTGATGGTGGTGATGGTGGTAGTGGTGGTGATGGTGGTGAAGTCTGTGTCGCTGTAAAACCACGTGTTACCCGCGGGCCTTTTGAAAAGGATTTCGCTCGCTCTGATTGGCTCCTCTCCTCCCGGAGGTGGTGGGGTGGAGAGTCACCGACGGTGACGTCACCGCCACGCTGGGCGTGGCTTCTTGGTGGTGGTGGTCTGCTGGGCATCACTCACTCCACCTTCCTCCTGTAACTCCCTCCACCTCGCCCCTCCTTATTCACCCTCTCCCACCTCGTCCTCCTCCTCTCCCACCTCATCCCTCCTCCGCCCCCATCTCCATCCTCCCATCTCCTCTCCCACCTCATCGCCCCTCCCCATCTCCCTGTCCCCCCCCCCCTTCATCTCTCTATCTTCCTTGTCTCCCACCTCACCCCCATCTCTCTCCATCCTCCACTCCCATCCCTCCTCCCCCATCTCTCTCCTCTCTCTCCATCCTACTCCCATCCCTCCCAAACCCCCATCTCTCTCCTCTCTCTCCATCCTATACTCACATCCTCCCATCCCTCCTCCCCCATCTCTCTCCTCTCTCTCCATCCTACTCCCATCCTCCCTCCCAAACCCCCATCTCCCTCCTCTCTCTCTCCATCCTGTACTCCCATCCTCCCAAACCCACATCTCTCTCCTCTGTCTCTCCATCCTATACTCACAGCCTCCCATCCCTCCCAAACCCCCATCTCTCTCCTCTGTCTCTCCATCCTATACTCCCATCCTCCCATCCCTCCTCCCCCATCTCTCTCCTCTCTCTCTCCATCCTATACTCCCATCCTCCCATCCCTCCTCCCCCATCTACCTCCTCTCTCTCCATCCTATACTCCCATCCTCCCATCCCTCCTTCCTCATCTCTCTCCTCTCTCTCCATCCTATACTCACATCCTCCCTCCCAAACCCCCATCTCCCTCCTCTCTCTCCATCCTACTCCCATCCTCCCATCCCTCCCTCATCTCTCTCCTCTCTCTCCATCCTATACTCACAGCCTCCCATCCCTCCCAAACCCCCATCTCTCTCCTCTCTCTCCATCCTATACTCCCATCCTCCCATCCCTCCTCCCCCATCTCTCTCCTCTCTCTCTCCATCCTATACTCCCATCCTCCCATCCCTCCTCCCCCATCTCTCTCCATCCTATACTCCCATCCTCCCTCCCAAACCCCCATCTCTCTCCTCTCTCTCTCCATCCTATACTCCCATCCTCCCTCCCATCCTCCCTCCCATCTCTCTCCATCCTCCTCCCCCCCCATCTCCCTCCCATCCCTCCCCTCCCACCTCACCCCCTCCCACAACTGCGCTCCGATGGGCCGTTAGTAGTAAAATCGGCGGCGTCGCTGAGGCTGTAAATATTCTTGACCCAATACTGTGGCGGGCTTGGAGATTTTTACACGCGCGCACACACGCGCACACGTATATACACACGCGTATACACACACACACGCACGTATATACACACGCGTATACACACACACACGCACGTATACACACGTATACACACACGCACGTATACACACGCACGTATATACATACGTATACACACGTATACACACGCACGTATACACACGCACGAATACACACGCGCGTATACACACGTATATACACACACACACGTACACACACACGCACGTACACACACACGCACGTATACACACACGCACGTATACACACGCGCACGTATACACGCGCGCACGTATACACACACGCACACGTATATACACGCGCACGTATACACACACGCACGTACACGCACACGTACACACGCGCACGTATACATGCACACGCGCACGTATACATACACGGACGTATACACACACGCACACGTATACATACACGTGCGCATACGCACACGTATACATACACGCACACACGTATATACACACGCACACACGTATATACACACGCACGTATACATGCACACACGCACACGTATATACACACACGCACGTACACATACACGCACACTGGCGGAGTCAGTGGGGGGGGGGGGGGGTGGCACGTGCCCCCCTCCCCCCCCCCCCCTCAACGATCCCATCGAAATCCCACATTTCGATGGGATCGCTGTGATTTATCAGTACTAAATCGGACTTTTCGCGACACCAAACCCACCACCGCCACCATCGCCACCGCGCGCGCGGGACTCTGAGACGATGGGCTCCGGCAGTCCACAATTTGGCGACGGGCAAAGCGGCGGCGGCGGCGGCTGCGGCTGCTGCTGCTGCTGCTGCTACAACAACGACGACGACGACGACGACAGGCGGCTCGTCGAATCGTGCCCCGAGCCGCGTCCACAAGAGTCCACGACGCGACTCCCCAAGAAGGTCGTCGGCGCCTCTCGGCGGGCGCGACGGCGATGGGCAACCGGGCGGTTCGCGGTTCCCACCCACCTCTCGATCGATGGGGCCCGAAGCCACGCACACACACACGCACACGCACGCACACACACGCACACGCACGCACACACACGCACACGCACGCACGCACGAGCCGAATGATGGGCAACGGGAGACAACTCCCCCGCTCGCCGTTGTCCCCTGTCGGTTGTTTCGCTAGAGCAGCGTGAGAGGGCGGATCCGTGCAGCGGCGAGATTTTCCCTTCGGGGTTTCGTGCACCCTTTTTAGCGTGGACTTTGGCGAAAGGGAATCGGGGAGCGTGGATTCCTGCGGCCGCCGTAAGCTTCCAGCTCCTCGCTCGCTGACGGCGCCGTATACTCGCGAACAACTTGCAATTTTGATTCAAAGCCCTTCGTGACTGCAGGGGATTCGCATTCGGGGTTCTTTCGGGGGGGGGGGAAACGGTAAAATGATTTAAATATATATATAAAACGATCAAATTGCCGCGACGTTTCGACTGCAACGCTAGGAGCAATCGTCATCGGGCGTGAACACCACAGCAAAGAACAATTTGTAAGCAAGACGATTTGAAATTTAGGTTCGGATTTTTTCTTTTGGCGATGACGATTGCTTCTTGCGTTGCAGTCGAAACGTCGTGAGAATTTTATTGTCTTATATATATATTTTTAAAAAAAATAATTTTATTGTTTCCCTATCTACGTGGTGGCGACTTTACGGGAAGAACCAAGAATAATAATTTTTATTGTTTTACAATACTTTTGTTTTATATTTTTATTATTTTATTGTTTCCCTATCTACGTGGTGGTGACTTTACGGAAAGAACCAAGAATAATAATTTTTATTGTTTTACAATAATTTTGTTGTTTTACAATAATTTTATTGTTTTACAATAATTGTATTGTTTTATATTTTGTATTACTTTATTGTTTCCCTATCTACGTGGTGGTGACTTTACGGAAAGAACCAAGAATAATAATTTTGTTGTTTTACAATAATTTTATTGTTTTACAATAATTTTATTGTTTTATATTTTTTATTACTTTATTGTTTCCCTATCTACGTGGTGGTGACTTTACGGAAAGAACCAAGAATAATAATTTTGTTGTTTTACAATAATTTTGTTGTTTTACAATAATTTTATTGTTTTATATTTCTTGTATTACTTTATTGTTTCCCTATCTACGTGGTGGTGACTTTACGGGAAGAACCAAGAATAATAATTTTATTGTTTTACAATAATTTTATTGTTTTATATTTCTTGTATTACTTTATTGTTTCCCTATCTGCGTGGTGGTGACTTTTTTACCGAAAGAACCAAGAATGCGAACTCCTTACTCACTAACAACAACTCCTCTCATCATTTTTCACTGCTGGAGGGGGTTGACACTGTCCCCCCCTCCTACTTGAAAATCCTGGCTCCGCCATCACACACGGGTGCGGCGTGCGAATTCGTAAATAGGTGAATGGAATATCTCGTTAGCGTCTGTCTCTCCCTCCCCCCCCCCCAATCGCCAGGTGTATTATAGACAGACGTGTACCCCAGGGAGGGATTGGGGGGGGCAGACTTTGTGCGCGTTACGGCAGAAAGGTGACACGGGGTGGTGGCGTGGGGTGGGGGTTAATCGGTGGGCCACGTGGTGATGGTGGTGGTGGT